GGAAGAAAACAATGAAGTATATAGTTTAATACAGATATCGTTCAAGAGGGTTGGGGATTGTATTGTGTGTGGCGGGGTGTAGGTACGAATCTTCCCTTCTATTTATAGAAGGGGCGGCTGGAGGTGCATAATTGGAAAACTTCCGTAACTTACTACTTTTCATTACTCATCCCGGACAAGAAAAGTTTCGCTTCTCATATTTTGGCGGATTGATATGATTGTCAAATTGTGTGCGAGGATAGGAAGGATGCGCGTTTTGAGAAGCGTGCCACTAAATACGCGCCGCATTCACCTCAGCGGGTCGGATTGGGCTATCAAAGTCCAATGATAATAATAATGATGTAGAAAAAGCAGCCGACCCCGTCGGTGGAAAGCACACGCGCGTCATCATTTGGATTTTGGAATTGTTTAGGAGGTGATTCGATATGAATTCAACTAGTAAAAAACTAGTTATTTTTTAACTATAGTTAAGTATGAAAATAGTTGGTATAGTTAATTGTTAGTGGATATATTAAAATAATATTTTAAATAAAATAATTAAAGTTGATTTGATGTAAAAGTAGGAGAAAATGATTGGAAGAGATAGTTAGTTAAAATTATGTTAGTAGATGAATAGTTAATTAAAGTTAATGTGATGTGTAAGAATGATTGATTGATATTATTTAATTATATTGATAATATTGAAGATAGTGGAGTTGAGTTAAATTTGAGTTTTGATTGATTTTTTTACTGTACAATTTGTATGCAATCGCCCCCTTAGATTTTAGAATAATTTCAGCATATTGTAGTATTGTAGTGTTGTGATGGAACATAATGAGCTAAACTTAGGTATTTCGAGCTTGTATTCGTTTTTTTATTTTTTGAAAGAAAAATCGTGTTCGAGCTCGTTTATTTAATTGTTTGTCAAAGTAAAATGAAAAAAAATAAAATAAGATATTTATATTTTATATTTTTTTATTAAAACTATCATGTAAATATACAAAATATAAAATAAAATTATATTTAATCGAATGTTCGCGGACGAGCTCGTACTCCTTCGATTATTAAACGTGCTTAATTTTCTATTCGAACTCGGCTCGATTAACAAACGAACAGCTCTTGTCGAACACGAATAAGCTCGAACGAGCTTTTGTTCGCAAACATTCGATTCATTAACAGTCCTACATGAAATATATGAGAGATTGAAACAGAAAATTCTAAAATTGTGCATATTCGCATATTAGGTTGATCTTTTCCAAGTTATAATAGATTTGAATTCTGTATTTTTAGTGAAATACATTCTTATTAGCATACTTGTAGTTATTTTAAAAGTAAAAGCAGGTAATCGATCCGAAATATATAATTTCAAACCAAAAATTTTAGTTTTGTCGGTTTCGTCGCTATTGTGCAATTTGACTAACACTACAGTGCACTCACAACACAGATATTTATACTTATTTCTCACAAAACGAATTAAAATAATATAAGGTTACTCAATTGGTTAATCGAATTATCTTAAATAACCAAAAAAAGTGTCATGTGAAATGTTATTTATGTAACGCTTATGAAGCGTTATTTGAAGAGATTGGTTTTCAGATAAAACTGATTTCGCTAACGCTTAAAAGCTTTATATGTAGCAAAACAAGCGTTATCTGAAGTCTTTTCAGGTATAGTAGAAATTATGAAATTTTTGACACTTTAAAATAATTATATACAAATTAATTAAATATTAAATGTTATATATCACTAAAAACAAATCAAAATATATGAAAAATAATTATTATTTATGGATTTTTTTATATATATTATACTTTAGTGCAACATAATCCTTCTTTCTCTGCTTATGGTGATAAATTTGTTGC